TAGTTTCGAGCTATTATCATTAACAAGTCATCAACCCTTGTATACTCAGCATATAATCCATATTCTTATATCCAGTACATTATATCCACTACATTATATCCATGTGTATAGATATATATATTTTAAACAAATTAATAAAAAAAAAAAGTGGGGAATTAGCTAAAAACACGAGTTTAGGTTAAACGTAGATGTTTAATGGACTCTATAAATAGTTCCTAAACCAATGCACAACCTATCCAAATAGAACATTTTATTGTCATTCTGATTATGATTGGCGATTCACAAGAAAGCTTAACTATGTGTGGAGTACTCGAAAGCGATGAAGAGAGCCAGGGTTCAAATGTCGTTGAGGTAGTTGTTATGTGTTTTTATAATAATGCTAATCTAAGAATGATTTCTGAAAAAATTTGTTTTTGTTTGGTAGGAAATCCCAATGAGAGAATTTCACATTCCTCAGCCGTTGATGGAGATCATCGTGAGTAAGGTTGGAGAAGATGGTGTTGACGCGTTGAAGAACTTGTTGCTCGCTGGGAGAGAGGGGAAGGATGCTGTTCTGTCGAAGAAAACCTTGGCATCTGTTCGGATTGACATGGATAATCATTTCATGTGGTGGTCAATGCCACATTCAAAGTACTACACTTTCTTCCAAAAGTGTCTTGCTGCGAATAATCCGTATGCGAAGTTTGTAGAGAAGAACAAAGGACTGGCTTATGAGTCGACGATAGGTTACTTTCAAATGAGATGCCGTTGGAAGGTCTGCCACCAAAAACGCTTAGGGGGTTTGATGGACCTGGATGACATGAAAAGGTGCGTGGTGAAGCCACCTATGAAGCGGGAAAGAGTTGGGAGGCCAAGGTGCCGAATGTGCAATAAAGCTGGGCACAGGTGTATGGATTAAGGATTGTAGGATGGTGGCGGGATGATGGGGTAGAGTTCATGAAATTAATTATCAACGTTTATTGGAATGATATTTGGCTATAATCCAACATATAATCGGGATGTTGTATTTTGCTTTTTGTAGAACGGGAATGTAAAACATTTAAGATTGTTGGGATGTTTTAGCTAAAGTTGCTGTAAGCACATTGTCTAAGTCCATGTAATGGTATCCATGTAATCATTAATTTTATATTTTAATCCTCTAATCTTTTTCACAAATGTTTTACTTTAGTATTTATGTTATATTTGGTGTATGTAATCCTCTAATACTCAGATAATAGGAAAGAGGGGGAAAACTCCCGCCAAAACAAAGAAAAATATTTAAATTGTTGAATTTAAAATATATAAAGAAAACTATTTCATGAAGTGTATCCACGCACTATAATCCATTGAATAATTAACCAGAAAATGATATCCATGTGTAAAAGATATTTATATTTTAATCCAAATCAATTATAAAATTATGAGGTTAGGGTTCAACAAATAGGTTTAATAAAGTCTATAAATAGGATATAAACTGTAACACAACCTAATCCAAAGATCAGATATATGTATTTCTTGTTAAAATGGGCGAATTACAAGAAAGCTTATCTATGGGAGGTGTACTCAAAAGCTATGAAGAGAGCGAGGGTTCAAATGTCATTGAGGTTGTTGTAATTTATTTTTTAAATAATGCTAATATCAGAATGATTGTTTACAAAAATCTGTTTTTGTTTGTTAGGAGGTTCCTATGAGGGAATTTCACATTCCTCAGCCGTTGATGGAGATCATCGTGAGTAAGGTAGGTGAAGATGGTGTTGATGCGTTGAAGAATTTGTTTCTCGCTGGGAGAGAGGGTAAGGATGCTGTTCTGTCGAAGAAAACCTTATCATCCGTTAGAATTGACATGGACCCTCATTTCATGTGGTGGTCAATGCCACATTCAAAGTACTATACTTTCTACCAAAAGTGTCTTGCCGCTGATAATCCGTATGCTAAGTTTGTTGACAAGCACAAGGCACTGTGTTATGAGTCGACGATAGGGTACTTTCAGATGAGATGCCGTTGGAATGTCTCACATGATAAGCGCATGGTGGATGACATGAATGTGTGCGTCGTTCAGCCACCTTTTCAGCCGGGAAGAGTCGGGAGGCCAAGGTGCCCTAGGTGCAAGAGAGTTGGGCACAGATTCAATAGGTGTGTCGATTAAGTTATGGAGGATGTAACCGGGATGTTGGGGTAGAGTTAATGAAAGTATTAACAATTTTTTGTGGTAAGTTATTTGGTTATAATCCAATATGTAAGCGGGATGTTGATTTTGGTTACAAATTACGTTTTAGTTTGTTGGGGAATGTAAAACACTTAAGAACTTTGTTTGCGTCCACTGAATGTTATCCATATTGTTTCTTAATGTTCAACTTGCCAGCAATGAGTATATCCTTATGTCCAAAAATTGTAATCCATAAAATCGTTATTGTTGGGGTACTAACCTTTATAAACTTTGTCAATATTCTGGTCAAATTTAGGTTAAAGAATTAGAGTCTCGGGCCATGGGTTGTTATCCATATAATAGTAATAAAATATGTCGAATCAAAGAAAAGTTGCCCTTTTTTTTGGTTGGAAAGCATGGTCGAAGAAATTATAGTCTGCTGACAGGAAAAGTAGCTTAAAAGTAACGTGTCCATAAACGAGCATCGGACGTAGCAAAAGCTATTGATGTGTTGTGTCACTCTTCAAGCATTACCCAATAGATAATACAATGTAAAGGGTGTCAGTATTGGCTAACGTGATGTATCTGGCCTATGACGTACGAATAGGTTATACAGCAACATAAATGAAAGATTTTTATAATTATGACTTAGTTGACAATTAGAAAGTTTAAATTTATAATGTACGTGAAATGATGGCCTAAACTGAAGCTATATAGATTTTGTTTTTTTATTTTTTATTTGGACTGAAAAATTGAAGGTTGCTTGAATATCAATAAGTACAGTTAAAATCAGACAACAAGTTCTAATCGAATTTTTTTCCATTTAGAAAATAATTAAAAAAAGAAAAAAAATAAAACAAATAAGATAGCGAAAACAACAATGTTTTTCAGACATCTGATCTGGGTTTTCAAGTCTTCAATATCTTTCTGAAGAACAGAATCATCCAACCGCGTCTCCTTCTTCAAAGTGCTAATGTCGGAATCACAAATATTTAACCCTTTTTGCAATGTTTGTGTAGCTCTCTCAATGTCATCGACTTTTTCAATCAACACCTCAATCTCTTCTACCAAACATGTATCCGTCCATTTGAACAAATGGTACCTATTATCCTGTGTATCCGGTATTAGTTCTGATATGAATTTAGCAAAAATGATTTTAGTTAGTTCATATACTTACAGAGGATCCCAAAGGACATGCATAAAACAAGCGACCAGGGTTTCTTGGAGTTGCTGAGGTTTTCATCACAACTTCCTCGCCACAACGGCAGAGTTTCGGGATACCTCCAAATTGATCTACCATTTTCTTGTTTGGACCTTTACGGTGGCGAACCTGAAAAAGCTTGTTATGGTGAAATCCCTAGATGTTTAGAATATATTCCCAATTATGGACGACGTCGTTTTTGGTAAAAGTTGAAAAGGAGTAATTCCAATAACTGACATAATATAATTCGTATTAATTTGTTTGTGATTCGTATTAATTTGTTTTCATACATTATTTTAACAGAAAACCCAAAGCTGATAAATCGGAATATGTTATCCGTGTGGTCTGTACTCAATGGATTGCAGTACTAGCCAAAAAAAAAAACGGTCACATTTCGATTATCATTTATTGAAACGCAACTACAGATAAAATACACGATTGATAATCGAATGTATTTATCGAATATCATTGTAATAGTCCATTAATACATAGCCACAATCGACAAAATCAAATAATATTCTTATTAATTTGCAGTCAAACAATTTTTAATGCTTTGCTCACTGGGGAATGGAAATACCTAAGCCCTGTGGTCAGTACTCAATGAATTGCAAGACAATGTATGAGTATAAAGATTCATTTGGAAAGGGAGATTTATATTAAAAATCTAAAATCTAACACAAGTCATGGATTTGAAAGACATAAAATAGCACAAAGCAAGATGGGCAAACATCTAAACCCCCGTAATGGACTAAACCACAAGGTGGTATAACGTGTAAGCCCCTGTACCCTCGGTAAAGATGCTTTCCTGTTGGACCCATGTCTGATATCTGAGTCATCACCTGGTCAGCGCAATTAATAGCTTCTTCGAAAGTTTGAAACTTCTCCAAATACTTTTGGAGAATCAAACTTCCTTCAGATGGATTTCCGCATAAAACATAGAAAATGCCAAAAGCAAAATAGGAATGAATGTTATGAATTGCAGCTTCACCAAGCATATCAAGAGATTGAACAGAAGGGCCAACAAGGGCAGCTAGTCTTAATCCTTCAATGTATTTGGCAGTGTTGTTGTTAGAATGTAGACATCTAAGCAGAAATGGGCGGTACGGTGACCCTTCAAGGCACAAAGATGGGACAGATACAAACTCCTCAAGACCAACCTCCTGTAATACTTCATCAGAAAAAACAATGGCTGACAATTCAGGGCCAGCAGCGATGAATGGACCGAGATGACGAAAACCAGAAATACCAATCCGACGAACTATGTCTGTAACCAAAGGAAAAGGAATGTAAGAGGACATATAGAAAAAAGAACAGAGTTAGAACGATCGGAATAAAGAAAGATTTTTGGAGAACTGATATTTGCCCACAGAAAGCGATGAAGGAGATGAAGTCGGAGACCCTAGTTTTATAAGGTTAAAACCCAAATTTAAACGCAGCGTTTTAATAAGTTGTTCATTGTGGACTGTACTGATGAATCCATTATACTCAATCCACAGAAGTCAATAACAGGCCTACGAGTAAAACAAACAGAGACAAATAACTTGAATGGAATGTGTCCATGTAAAGAAATCCACATCACATAGTTTATGCTAGAATAATACTAGATGATAATGTTGTTTTTAGAATAATAGAAGTGGTAGCCGAGAAGTATGTTTTTAGAAAATAGTTAAGGAGATTAAAACAAACAATTTATACAACAAATTACATAGATTAGTAGTTGAGCTACCTATTTGTAAAGAGGAGCCACAAGTTCTTGAAACAGATCTATAGCGTATTGACCCCTGAAATCATCAACAATTTCATCAGTTATAAGAGACATTTTCTCTGGACCTCCACCATTGGCGTATATTTCGATGAGCTTCATGGCCACAGGTCCACAGTCCCCACATCTCTCGTTGACATAGATCTCTTTCATTCTTGTCCATCGGAAAGGAGCCAACCCATGTTCCTGACTCAGACGTGGCTTGCAAAATTTGTTAATTATATACGGGATTTGGACCAAAATAGGTGCCATGTACTCTTCAACTTTGGCATCATCGTTTAGAGGGTAATTTGGATCAAGTATGTCGACACACCATGTGCCTAAGTTGATAGCCAGACCTACCCAATGCTGGTTTTTCCATATCATTGGCATGAAGATAAGATCTATTTCTTCAAACCATTCTGATGGAGATCCAGGAATAGCCCTCTTGAACTGTTGATTCCATTGAACACGCAACTTTTGTTTTGCAGCTAGGAAAGAAGAGTACTTTCCCTGTAGGTAGTTGCCTAGCCATGGTTTGATGATTACAGCGCGTTCTTGAGAGAGGGCCAATCTGTGCCTTTCATTTAGGAAAGATCCTAGGACCTCCATGTGCTGCAAAATGATAGAAAAGAGTAAGTGGAATAAGCATATTGAACATTGGGGGAAATAAATGTGATTAATTATGGGGAAATGTTTTACCATGGTATCAACCCAATTGGTTGGCTGGGCAAGCTGGACTAGGAATTTGTTGGTTATCACAGTATCACCGCGGGTTATGTGTTCCCTGAAATTAGAAAATAATGTTAGACAGTTGGAAAAAAATTTAAAGTAAAAGGAAAAGGAATGTCATTACGTATGTGGTGACTTTCGAAGTGTGTCCATGAAGACTTTGAATAATGATTTGTTCAAACGAGGTAAGAGGTCATGTTGTTTTGTAGGTGAGTTTTGGGGAATATTTGACACCAACGCAACAAGTTTGGCCTCATTGTCAGACAAAGAAGTTGGCTTTCGTTCTCTCGCAGGAGATGAATCACTCACATCAACAACATCTCCAGTTTCGACAGCAGAATCCTGAGATGTTTTAAGAAAATTAAGGATAACATAATGAGAAAGCCATCATCATTTTCAATATGAGCATCTTTTTGGAGGAGGGTAAATTGAGATTATACCTCATCATCATCATTTTCAATATCATCATCTTTTTCTTGTTCAGTTGCTGCGGCAATCTACGTGAGAAAGAAACAAGGGGTAAGATATTTTCTAATTGGGCATAAAGTATAGATTTAAAAGAGGAGGGTCAATTTTTGGAGGATAAATAGAGGAGGTTTCAATCTGGTGACAGGTTGTTAGTGGACATTACTTAAACCACATATCCACATGGATACTTCGCAAATTAAAAAGTATTGTCTAACAATAACGTATCCACGTGGACAGGGAGTTTAAAACTTACCTCGGAGTGTTTTACCAAAACAAAATTTGGTAAAATGACATCAGATTGACCCTCTTGTGGTGTTATCTGCAACGTAATAGATCATCTTGTTTAACATTTGGTTTTATGGAGTGTTGTTATTTATTTTGTTAGGTTTGAAATAAATTATAGTAACTTTTGTTAATGAAGATACATAGGTTCCACATATTGAAGTATTAACTTATTAATGAAGCCATCAAAAATACAGCTATCCACGTGGACAGCCTGGGTTAAAATACCTCAGTGTTTTGAAGATTAGCAGAATTTGATATAATATCATCAGAAAGGTTAGGAACAGGTAGATCATCTTGAGGGGTTATCTGCATCGACAATTAAATTGGTTTACTATTAGAATATATGGAATGAGGCTTGAAACAAATCTTTAAAGTTGGAGTATGGTAAAAGGATACCTTTGCATCAACAACAGCAAGAGGCTCTTCTTCTGATGGTAAGGAATCCTCACCTGCAGCAGCAATAGTAGGACTTATGGACTTGCAAACTGATTGAACCAATGTGTCAACATTATCGGCCAAGGACAAGTCTCCTATGTTGAGCTCCTGGATAAGATTGAAAGTGGTAAAACATTAAGCAGATGAGTAACATCAATTATGAGAATCTCAAACAATAGATAAACTACTTAGTTGAGATAAACCTCAGATCCATCAATAGAAGAGGGTTTCTTTGCAGTATCGAATACAGGTGGAAGTTGAGGAGAAGGCAGAGGCTTGTGTGTAAGATACCCAAATGTGGAAAATGTAGTTAGGTATAAAATAGTTAAATATTTTGATATAGAGACAGAAATTTGTAAAAAATACCTCGTCTCTAAGTTTTGACTCAGTGTCATATATGGGTTGACCAGACTGTTGATCCTCTGTGCTATCAGCAGATAAATACTTTGATGGAGATTCATTCTGAAAAAGACAACAAATCTATGGATTAATGATCCATGGTAGGTAACAATAGAGAAATAAATTTTCAAATCCCAGTACCAGATGGTTTTGAGGGGAAGAAATCTTCCCAGGATTATCACCCTGTATGAAGAAAAAATGTGATAAGTGTATGAGTTAAGAAAACAATGTAAAAATGTGATGTTTGGGAGTACAACCTCAACAACTTCATTGACTGTGCTATTCATCTGCATAAGAGGGTTAAATAACTTAATTAGTGACTGTGATAACCCAATATAGAAGCATTATATTGGATGAAGAGCCACTGACCTGCTGAGAAGTTATTAGACGCCATGTGTAATCATCAACAAGAAGTGAAGGTTCTCCTGAAACTGCATTCTCTTCCTCATGCATTGAAGTTAATGGACTTGAAGGAGGAGTTGGGATGTTTTGAGTACCTACAGCAGCATTCTCTGGAGATTCAGATATATTGGGATGTTTAGCTGCTATGCGTACTTTCCTTGATGGAGCACAAGTTGACTGTCTAGCGCGTGAGAATTTGTGAAATTGAAATCTTGGCATCTTCAGAGATCTCAGGGCCTTGATCTTTTTCAGAAGATTCCGATTCTGACCTCTTAACTTCTGAACATTCTCCGCAAATTCATGTCTTATAGCATCCAACCGCGAATTCACCCACAGTTTTATATCACCTGCCTCATCATCATCAACCAACTCAAACTTACGCTTCCTGCCTCGCCTTGAAGTACCGACATTCGATTTTGATTGACTTCCCTTTGAAGGAGTTGACGTATGTTTCCTTTTCCTGTTAACTATATGCTTCTTGTGTTCAACAACTGGGTCCTTTTCATTGACAGAAATGAGATTTAGTTCAGCATAGCCACCAGGCCACTCCTTTTTGGTGAATTCATGACATTTCCTTATCTGCTCAATCAAAAAAACAACTTTCTTGTCTCTCACTTCATCATCCCACTCTCCCCATCCATCTTCGTTTTGGTCAACAAACAGGAACGGAGTAACAACCAACTGAAGAATCAAAGACAGATAATGAGAACACATAAAAGTTAAAAATTTACCCAAAATTATATAAATGTTTGAAACAACTTACATCAGGAGCACGTTCAAGGATATGAACTTCATTTAGGGTAAGATTGTTTTTGGGGATCCCAATTGAATGCCATTCCAAGAAGGTTCTCTCATCTGAAGAACCTGGAATCTTCTCCAGTAGACCAGATATGTTCCTATATGCAAGCAGTTGCAGGCCCAAAGGAAAGCCATAAATAGCTATAGTTTGCTGTTGCATCTGTTCTGCAAATAGCTGGATTGGATCTTCAATCTTGCTATGTGCGCGGGACCTTTTTCTCTTCGCACCTCCCACTGAAGGTTTGTTTCTTCCAGGGCTCATAACCTGTATGGTCTTGAGGAAAGATTCTCTCCCCCATGGGAAAGAAAGGAAGGATTCAATGTTTTCCAACATCTGGACATACTTATAGGTTGGCCGATGAGTCTGATTATTGGCTATTAGGACTCCATCAACAATAAGCAAAAGAGCTAGTGGCAGTTTCAAAGGGGACTCAATCCCTTTTAATGCCTGGAACTTGACGGATAAATCAGCTAAGGTAGTATTCTTATCTTTTCCTATCAACACATCCCAATAATCCTTAACCCCATTCACACGTTTTGGGGATAAATCTGGATCATACTCCTCAGGGAATTCACCACAAGGCAAACCAGTGACATTCCCAAACTCAACTAAAGAGAATCTTAGTGGCTGTCCACCAAAAACAGTCCACATTTCATACTTTTTTTTTGTAATCAGTTGTCTACATAACAACGCGTGGACTAATTTGCAGGAAATAGGACATTCGCTAACCCTTAAACTAAAAAGCGAACCAAAACACGAATCTAAGAGAGTTTCCATTTCCTTTGTACCTTGAAGAACATCACAAATCACAGTGAGGATATCGGGTCTGGAGTATATATTGAGACGGGCTTCTGGGTATCGGTCCGTTGCAAAGAGACGGGGAGGGAGTCGGGTATCGAAGTCAATTGTATCGACTTCGGCCGGAGCTGGTTCAAATTAGGCAGTTATTGACAGAGAAATGAAGTAGATAACTGAAAAACAGAACATAAATTACAAAAACATATATCGATTACCTGCCATTGATAACTGTAAGGAGAGGTAAGTAAAATCAACGGATTTGAATGTCGCCGGATTTGGAATTCTAGGTTTAGAAAGAAAAGGAATTATGATGTAAACATATACTTTTGAAGTTCTTAGATCTTGAGCTGAAGTTGAATTCCGGGAAGACGTATTGGTGGATGAGAACGGACAAACGGAGGCCGATTTAACGCCGACGCCGTCACCGGAAGAAATTTGGATTTAGGTTACAGTGAAGAAAAGTTTTACGGGTTACAGTGAAGAAAAGTTTTACTAGAGGACTGTAATAATTATTTTTTTAAATGCTTAACCACTGACCTTGTAACTATGGTTAACGAAAATATGAGGGGCTTTTGGTAAAAAAACTTAAAAAACTACCCACTACCCCTAAACTACTCTAGAAGTCAATTGAGTTTCCAAAAAGTACCCCATAATGTAAAATTTCCTATTTATAATTTCTTACTCTGATTATATGAAGTATGTATTCTCTTATAAAATGTGTTGATGTTCTTTTTTTGTTCTGTCTGTATTTACATTCAGCACCTTCCACATCTCAGGAAGATGGATTTGAGATGGTCCTATGATCTAAAGCAACTCCCAGACCTTTCAAATGCTACAAATCTCGAGAGATTGGATCTGCATCGTTGCGAGAGTTTGGTAGAGGTTCCTTCCTATATTGGAAATCTTCATAAAGTAGAGCTGTTGGATATGGGTTTCTGCATAAATCTACAAGTTGTTCCGACTCTCTTCAACTTGGCATCTCTTGATTATGTCGACATGGAGGGATGCTCACAGTTGAGAAACTTTCCAGATATTTCCACAAACATCAGAGCACTCGCAATAGCAGACACAATGTTAGAAGAATTGCCTAGATTGATTACGCTTTGGTCTCGGCTTCAGAATCTCAGTATATACGGCAGTGTCAGAGATCCACTTGTCGGTCGCGCAGATATTGAGAAAGTTCCAGATTGGATCAAAGATCTTCCTAGATTACAATCTCTTCAGATATTTGGCTGTCCAAAACTTGCATCACTGCCAGAGATCCCTAGCTCACTGGATACACTAATAGCAAACACTTGTGAATCATTGGAGACCCTTGCATCTTTCCCTATTGACTCTCAAGTTACTAGTCTTTATTTCCCCAACTGCTTCAAATTGGTACAAGAAGCACGAAAAGTGATTACTCAGCAATCATTGTCGGCATGCCTGCCCGGAAGAACAATACCTGCGGAATTCCATCATCGAGCTACAGGAAATTCCTTGACATTCCGCCCTGCAGGTTTCATTGGATTTAGGATTTGTGTCGTGGTTTCGCCTAAACCAGAGATGGAAGAACATATTCGTCATTACTCAATGTCTCGCATATGCATAAACGGTTGCCCCACTGATCAACACATACTTACGGGTCTCCGTGAAATCCGAGGTGAACATCTATGTATAACTCAATTTGATTTGTCTGACGAAGAACCGGAGAAAGAGATATTGTTGGAAATCATCACCACACACCAAGAAGTCGACATTATTGAATGTGGTGTCCAGATCTTGACGGATGAAACCGACAGAACAATAAGAAGCTATGAATCTATATCAGAACAAGTGTCTGCAGACGACGTTGAGAATATCTCTGGTGGGAGCAATGAGTTTGATGAACTCAGAGTATAACTTCCCAAAGCCTGACAAGGTATCATTCTGATTTGTATCTTTTTATTTTGATTTCACATGTTCTTTTATATAGCTTTCTAAATACACACCCGGCCCTAAGACGTGAGTATTTGATGTTGTTGTACTGATCAACTTTCTGTTTAACCCTTACTATTAGTATGGACATCAATAATTTAGTTTTCAATCGATAGGCTTCCATTGGTTCCTAGTGTTCTTGAACTTGTAGGCATCGGTTACACAAGAGTGAGTTTCTTCTTCTACCATCTTGTCTTTGTATCACTTGAACCAAGCTTTAGTGAACCTGTTTCGATGATATAGATGATTCATCGTATCACTTTTGGATTTAGGACCGAACCTCTGCAATTTAGTGTATTAATAATATAGAGATATGATATCAGAAATGGATTGCTTTCATGTAGTATTGAGAGTATAATGCTTTAAGCCTGTGTTTGGTTTCATGTAGTATTGAGAGTATAAGACTCAAATTCTCGAGAAAATTGTTTGGTATCTGTTTCAGGGAGGCTTTGTTTGAGAAGGTCAAGAACACATACAAAGACATATTAGGGAGCAGCTGAATCAAAGGAGGAAGAAGAAGAAGAAGAAGAGCCTTGTTGAGTTTTCTAATGAATCAGTTTTTGATCCATTTCTCTGTAACTTTGAATTAATGTCTCTGTGCAACCATGTTTTGTAACCAAACAAAAAGATATATGTATTGTTTTACAAAATTTGAATCTTTTTCTTAAGAACCCCAATAGTGGTTTTAACCATTCGAAGCCACAAAAGTTAAGAATTCTTATGCAAGTTCTTAAGTTTGAGAAATGCTAAATTTATACTTAAAAAATGCTAAGAACCCTCATGGGGTTATGGCTTTATAAAAATAAACATTTAATCTTTAATTAATTTTAAACCTTTAGATAAGCTAAACCGACGACCGAATTATATATCGGGTCGGAGTATCCACCTGATCCGGTTTAAGAAACACTTTATTGAAAAGACGAAGAGAGTTTGCAATTTCTTCTCCAAACGAATCTGTGCCGTTACAACTCACAATCCTCTCTCATTACCTCTCATGGAGATATCGCACCTGGAGATACCGCGTCTTCACGAGCTTCCATGGACCTAATGTCCGTAAAACCTTTTTCAGTCATTTACGCAAACAGTTTATCTGCAATGGGATGACCATGTTTGATGATCAAGGGATCGAGAGAAGCCAAATGATTTCTCCTGCACTTACGCAAGCGATTTAGAGAATCGAGGATCTCGATTGTAGTGCTCTCGAAGAAGTATGCTTCATCGAGTTTGTGTTTTGGATGAGCTGTTGGAGATTCTGAAGTGCAGGGAAGATAATGGACATATAGTGTAATAGTGATGACTGTCTTCTACGGCGTAGATCCATCTGATGTTCGGAAACAGACCAGAGAATTTGGGAGCTCTTTCAATGAAACTTGTGCTCTTAAAACGGAGGAGGAGAAGAAGCAAAAATGGAGCCAAGCTTTGAACGATGTTGGCAATATAGCTGGAGAACACTTCATAAACTGGATTATTAAAACTTACTTCGCTTCTAAGTTTGAATCTTATATGGTAACAGGATCGTGGATTTGGTAAATCATCTGATACATCAATAAACAAGAAATGGTGTATAAATGAGTGGCATTTGAAGCAGATGAGTAGTCTTCTCTTCTTAAGAGATTACTGGAGAAGGTGTAAAGGAAAGGTTCATATGCTGACTACAAACATTAATATTTCATCACGTCTATGTTAGAATTGAGTCCATGATTAAATCTTTTAATATCATATGCGGTAGTAGTTTGTATGTAAAGTCAACGGATGTCATGTGTTACATGTGACTTACTCGAACGAGTGTGTGTGAGTAAGAGACGTAACTTGTGAGATAAGTTACAACTGTTACCAACGGTTATGTAGAGGAGTTATGTAAACATGTATATAAGTGTGTGTGTCTTGTCTTAATAAAAACAACAAGTTTCAGATTAATAAAAAGTTTTCTATTTCGTCCGCTGTCTTCTTTAAAAGAGAAGAGAAAATTCTTTATCTCTTACTCTGTTTCTTCATTCCTTCAAAACACCAACAGTCTAATGTAGTAATGTGACCACTTTGGCTTTCATTACCCCTACAAGATCAAACTCGATATGTACGTCCTGTACAAGCTCTGAGAAGGAATCCAGGTTAGTCTTGTTTTACATTTCAACCGCTTTCAAATCTTAAGAGGAAGAATTCGAAGCAAAGGTCTAAATGTCAAAGAGTCACAGTAAAGTAAACAAGTTTAGTTTCCTACAAGACTCTAAAACTTGAAAGGAACCAAACCTGTTGTCAAAGTTTTTGTAAATATTCTAATAAATAGAAGGATCTTCAGTCTTCACCTTTTGTTATATTGACGAATGTTTATAATTGTAAGTATGTGCTAAGCTAAAATATAGGAATTCATACATAATTAGTACTTTATTTTATCAAGAAGACAAATCAAGAAACATTATATCTTTTGAAGTTTTTTT